TTACCTGAAGTGCCAGTGCAAAATATTTTTGCTTTGGAAGTAGAAATATACAGTTTTTCGTCACTTTAGTATCGACTGTCATGTCGTTTCTATCATAGGCGGTGTCTACTGTATTATAATAGTACATGGTTTGGCGTAACTGTTGCTATAAAGAGGCCATAAAGAAAGGGTATGCAAAAGAAAGGGCGATAGAAAGTCTGTAGTAGCAGATATTTAACCGAAAAAATCGCGTAGTCGTACCAGATTTAATTCGTAGCCCTAGCGAATCAGTTCTAAAGTTCCCTATTTAATGTTGTTGATTTCATGTTTATACTAACTTATATTTTAATACTCGCTTTAGTGTGCATTATTTTATTACTTTAAACATCTCTTTTATTAATAGCAAAGTCCTAAGCCAAAGAAGCTAGGATTGTTTACTATAATCAATTGACTACATATTCAACTTATAAAATACGGATTTATTAGGAATGTAATTAAAACTAATACTTTCCAATTTAAACTTTTTTAAAAAATGTCAAAGATAAACTACAAACTATATAAAACCTCAAATATAAAATCTTCCGTTGACCAGTAAAACTATTTTGTTTTGACAATACAACAAAAATATGTTATTATAAAAACAAATATTCATGTTATTTAAATATTCAGTTTTGTAAAATAGAGAACCGCCCTTTAACACTGTGTTAATTAATAGCCTATAAACACTGTCTGGTAAACTATTGCTTCTCTCAGTCATAAATTTAAGAACAGACGCTCTCACTGAAAACGATGGCGTCCCAGACTCATATTTTGAGCATGATCCATCTGCTTATACTGTCAAGCAGAGGTTAAAATGTTGAGGCCGGCTTATAGCAAAGCGGTATAAATTATAAAACGCCAAGTTCTTCTTCAGCGAGTTAGCGATTGCTTTTAATAGTTCGGGAAAGCATCGTTCGCTGGATGTATTGATGGGGGAAAATGGTTAGCTGCGAAAGTTCTTGGAGAAAAACCAGCACAGTCCGCAGTCAATAACAATCAACACATTGCTACTGCAGACATTCCCGTCCCGTCCGACTTTTCAATTCCCTGTTTCGGCAGTTTTTCTTAGTATCTCGAATCACCTGGACATGTTCCCCAGCAACAGTGCTTAGCATTAACCATGTTTGTAATTTGGGATAAATTTGAATTCGTTTTAGTACAGATAAAATAAATAAAAACGTCAATTTAGACCAATTTATGTTCGCTGCTAGTACAATTCTATACAAAATGTTAGTTTGTTTGTCTGCGTCTCGTGGGGGGTCTTCACTTGGAGAATCTATTTTTAGCTACTGCGGACAACGCTATTGGTAATACATTGACATTGTTTACATTGTAAACTTCTAACGATCGTAAATTGCTATAATGTTCATGTTGACATTTGCCTAAAACCATCCATAGGGATTGTTTCACTGAATTGAACGGTGGTACTTTCATCCACATAGCATGCACTGAACCAAAATATATGAACCTCCAAAGTAAACCGACGATATATGTCCATATCGATCTGCTTTAATTATGCGCAAGCGAAAGAGTATGCCAGAGCCTTTAACTACAAAATTTCATTTATTTCACGACTCTTTCGTATGCCTTTAAATTAACTACAAAATTCCATAAACCAACGGCTCTTTCGTATGCCTTTAACTACAAAATTCCATAAACCAACGGCTCTTTCGTATGCCTTTAACTACAAAATTTCATAAACCAACGGCTCTTTCGTATGCCTTTAACTACAAAATTTCATAAACCAACGGCTCTTTCGTATGCCTTTAACTACAAAATTTCATAAACCAACGGCTCTTTCGTATGCCTTTAACTACAAAATTTCATTTATTTCACGACTCTTTCGTATGCCTTTAAATTAACTACAAAATTCCATAAACCAACGGCTCTTTCGTATGCCTTTAACTACAAAATTTCATAAACCAACGGCTCTTTCGTATGCCTTTAACTACAAAATTTCATTTATTTCACGACTCTTTCGTATGCCTTTAAATTAACTACAAAATTCCATAAACCAACGGCTCTTTCGTATGCCTTTAACTACAAAATTTCATAAACCAACGGCTCTTTCGTATGCGTTTAATTAACTACAATATTTCGCACATGCGCAGACTAAAAACTGTCACACTAAACTTTTTTTGGTTTATAACATAGTGGTTAGCTGCCCTTGCGCAGGCTAACCACAAAAACTAATGCTGAATAACTCATGCTGAAAAACTATCTATCTGTTCTAAACTGTTCTCCCTAGAACCAAGTGCCCTAAGTCACAGAAGAGCGTAAGTGGTCTAGTGTTAGTACAGGAGGATACGAGAGAAAACATGTGCGTTTTGTAGAATCTTACTGGAAACATTCATCTCACATTGAATCAAACGCCTGTCGTGGTGGTAATGCATTGAACACTGTGTTATTGACAAAACACCCGAAGCACCCATACCATCGAGATTTTTTATCAAGGTATCGAAAGGTTCCCGGGCCGATCTCAAACGTTTACTTTGTCTTTTTAGATTGCAATCACATCTCCAAATACTGTGTTAGGTGAGACAATATACCTGACACGCAAAAGTTCCATTTGTGCTTTATGGAACACATTCATTGACAGCGAGACTCGAATCATTGACTACCATTTCTCATTGTGTTTGGAACACGATAAACATAACTGTCCTATCTCATCTCGCGACCTCAACAATAGAACATTCATATGTATCGAAGAACCACCTATTACAGAAGGCCAGAGTTATATCATAAGAATTACTGCAACAAACCAAGTTGGTCTCAGCTCAACAGCAGATTCTGCAAAGTTTATCATCGATACGACCGAGCCGGATGTTGGGGAGATAACTGCATTGAATCCTTTGGGAGATGAATACAATTTTGTCTCGTCTGCAATCCTGGCCCGCTGGCACGGTTTCATTGACCTCGAGACTGGGGTCTCTGGTTATTCATTATGTATCGGGACAGAACCTGCGTTGTGTGATGTAACTGGATTGGTTTCTGTAGGAAATGCGTCAAGCTACACTTGGTATAACCTGAGTTTGGTCCACGATGAGGAATATTTTGTGTCTCTAAAATGTGGAAACAATGCTGGCTTATCTACGAATTTTACATCCTCACAACCAATTTCTGTAGACACGACAGGTACGCTACTGACTTACACAATGTATTTTTCACGTACACGCGTAAAAACGCACAAGTTGTTACAGGTCTGCAAACAAGTTGTTACAAATCTGTTCACAAGCTGTCGACAAGTTGTGTTCGCACTGCTTGTTCCCAGTTGTTCTAACAAGTTTGGAACAAGCTGTTAACAACTTGTAACAAGCTTGATGGCATTATCAGACTTGTTACAAGGTTGTTCTAGCAGGTTTGATACAGTCATAGCAAGAATGTTACAAGGTTCTGGTTGACGACACAAGGTTGTAACAATAGTGTTATATCAGGACTGTATCGGACTTGTTGGAACAATACAACCAACCCAATATCAACAAGGTTATTACAAGTTGTCAATGTTCAGCTTGGTCCGAACATGTTGACAACTTGGGACAAGCAGTGCGAACACAACTTGTTGACGACTTGTAGGCAGACTTGCTACAAGATGCAAGACAGCAGCTTATTGTAGAATACTACATAGACTGGATAAACATTTTGCACGCATATATTAACATGCTTGATTTTCTTATAGCTCCACCTCTTAGTAAAGTTCTGGACGGTTTCGAGGAATCAAAAGACATTGACTACCAGCAAAGCCGTAGGCACGTGTTTGCCACGTGGTTCAACGTTGAAGACCCTGAAAGTGATGTCATCACCCTTACATGGTGTATCGGATCCAGGCCTCGATCATGTGACCTCAAAGTCAGTACCTTATTAGATGTTTCTGCGAGTAAAATGTCGACATACCTTAACCAACCAATCAAAAACGGGGGTAGGTATTACGTCACACTCAAAGCGACCAATGGTGCAGGTTTGACCAGTATTATGGTATCTGATGGTGTTATAGTTGATTACACACCACCAAGTGCTGGGATGGTTATTGATGATCAAGATGTTGATATTGATTACCTCAAGGATGGTGATACAGTTTATGCTCGATGGTCAGAATTTGAAGATGATGAAAGTGGTATAAAATCTTACCAGTTTGCATTATGTGAGAAAGAAAATATAACCGCTTGTCCAACGGCGTTTTCAGACACAGGCCTACAGACGAATATAAGTTTGTCAGGTTGGTTTAATTTCCTTGTTCTTGGTTCAGATATTGGTGTGCGGTAGCTCAGACAACAATTTCTTTCGGTCAGATGTTCGATGACTTTGAGTTTCGGGCGGACATATGTATTGTGATGTCCGATGACTTTGAGTTCAGTTTGGCTTGGAAATAAGTATGAATGCAGACACAAATGAATATTAGCAAATTTTGGAAAAGTCATTTGAATCTTGGCAATGAATTTCCAAACCCCACTGTGAAAACCCCGCATTTGATTACACATTTCCAGTTCATTTTTTATCTCCATTTAGTATAATTACATAGGTGATTATTGAAAATTCTCCACGCTGATTGGTTGCCATTGAGGTGATTATTACGCGATAATCACCTAAGCGATTTTCAAAATGGCGGCCGAAGCCGTTTTGTCAATTAAATGACGAAAAAATGTGTATTTTTTATTTTTTTCTAAATAATCACCTATGAAATTATACTAAAACAATTATTGACCTCAGGCTCGGTGATTATCGTGAATAAAAACCTCGACTTCGTCTCGGTTTTTATTCACCGATAATCACCTCGCCTTCGGCGAATAATTGTTAATTAACATGCGAGCCTAGTCCTGGACTACGGTACATTTTGATTTACGTTGGACAAAGTTACACACCGGACACCAATTCTCTTGGTTCGGACAAACAATAAACCTCAGTTTCACTTAGGTCAGACAGAATGTCCAGTGGTTTCCTTTCTACGTCGGACAATTTCACGAATGGGTCGGACAATGTCCGTGACCAAACGATATTCTAAGGCTTGCAGTTGGTGTCAGCGTGAGAAGGTAAATTATTTTCATTAACCTTTTCTTTAGGCACGGAGTTACAAAGTGGTCTAGAGTATGTGATAATAGTTCGTGCTACCAATATGGTTGGTTTGCGTCAGCAGGCGACGTCAGATGGATTTACAGTGGACGCAACGATACCAGTCTCAGGGCGAGTCGTAATTGTCAACCCATCACCAAGCAATTTCGATATCCAGCAAATTACAGCTAGGTATGGCACTGTTAAAAAAAGCCCGTAATTTTACAGTAAAAACGGTACTGACAGCAGAGAATGTAATCTAATTTTACACAGACTGTTTTTTAAACCGAAGTCTGTATTTATACCATAAAAAGGCGCACCGTAATTTGCAATTACAGTGTAGTTACTGTAAAAGATTACCGTCAAACACGTGTCAAATAACTGATTTATTTTTAAATACTGTCCATTATACTGTAATTTACGATTATAGTATACCTACTGTAAAAAATAACAGAATATACACCCTTTTCATAAATGGCTGCCGATTAAAAATTCTTTTTTGTGCATATAAATAGGCCCAACTAGCCTCGTTTCTGGGCAGAAATTCCTTTGAAATTTAACATGAGTACGAGGCTAGTTGGGCCAATTTATATGCACATAAAAGAATTTTTAATCGGCAGCCATTTATGAAAAGGGTGTATTATTCGGTAAAAACCGCAGATATTTTTAACAGTGTAACTTTTATTTTGGATGTACAAAGCACAATAGGACATGTGCCACGCTGTCACACATGTGGAAGATTCGTATATTTTTTTATTTAAGACGCGCTCAAAACATTTCCACTTGGTTATGACTATATTTCATTTTTCTAAAATTTTTTATACGTTTCTCAAGCGGCAAACAAACTTTCAAACACTCATTAATAATTCATAAGCTTATTGGCAAATCATGTCAACCATAATATGTCACGTGCAGTGGCTTTAAACCTGATAAAACACCCCTAATTAGTATTCTTTATATAAAAAATACTAATAAGGCAGTATCTATTGTGGTGGTGTCCTCATTAGCATATCTATTGAATTTGTAGTCGTGTTTGAAGCCGTTTAATAAACTCGCAGGTCGTGTTTTATTATTTCTAAAGCCACTCGCGCTGCGCGCTCGTGTCTTTAAACATAATAAAACACTCCTGCTCGTTTATTAAACAGTACTTAACAAACTTAAAAGGTATGTTTAGTGCTTTATCTGTAAAGTAATGCTAAAATGAAGATTTTTTAGATGGTACGATGTCTGAAGTTCAAGGCCCTGTCACACTATTGTGTATGAGAGAAACGTATGAGAAGCGTATGAAAATTAATGAAATAATTTTCATACGCACAAAAATTCTTTGAAATGCCAGCGTATGAGTACCGTACATCTGGCGTATCTCTAGCGTGTTCAGCGTGTGCCTAGAGTATGCTTATCGTATAAACCATACGTCCGAATACGAACAAAATTTTCGAGCATGCTTCTGCCTCGCCGTATGCCACCGTATGCGACCGTGCTTGAAACGTATACTATGCCTAACGTATACCCCTAGCGTATACCGGCGTATGAGTGATATTTTTCATACGCTGGCATACGCTAGTAGGATACGCAATAGTGTGACAGGGCCTTCAGTATGTATTGCTTATATTGCTGTATATAAGTATGGCGTCAATTTTACAGCATCAATGATTATCACATTTAAATTGACAATATTTAACTATTATTTTGAGTTTCTCAACCGCCAGATACATGTAAAAAGGTTGTTAACTGTGTAAACTACAAAATAAAGCTGAAACAAAGTAATTCTGAGAGGAACGCCAAAAATATTTTAGGTTTTGAACATTTTTCATCGCAAATACACGGCATTGAAAACAATTGCCTCTTTTAAAAAATTGCACCGTGTAACATGGCCTTTATACTATATAATTTTCAGATGGGAGAATTTCATGGACGCAGAATCAGATTTATCTCAATATGAAATATGCCTTGGGACAAGCCAGGGAGAATGCGATGAGATTGACTTCCGCTCTGTTGGACTGAACACTACTCACAATTTCACTGAGCTCAAATTACGTCATCAGGAAACATATTACGTCACACTAAAGGCAATTAACAACGCGGGACTGTCCACGCAAGTGACTTCAGATGAAATAAAGATTGATGTCACTCCACCACAACCAGTAAAAGAGATGAGTGGAATTTCATTGGATTTGGAGGAGATTTGTAGTGAGACCTCTGGTGGATCTTGTAATACGACAAGTACAACATCAGGTAAAATTAAAATTATTGTATTTATATTGGATAGCTCTACCAGTCGTAAACTGTTCTTCCTAGAGGTTTAGCAAGGACCGTCTCTTATTGGTCCAGTGTTACTACAGGAGGAAACCTAAACTAAACTAACTTTATTTGTACTGGATAGCTCTATCAGTTCTAAACGGTTCTCCCTGGAGGTCCGTAAGGATAATCCCGTATCGATCGAAAACTCATATCCTCTTAAGGTCCATACACATCGGACGCGATTCGACAACGCGACTCGATTTTTCGATTTTCACTGAACGATAACTTTGATCCTAATTTAAATTTTCCAAATATTTAGAAGCGTTACAACATTTTGAGTTATTTGGTCTACATATCTTTTAAAATTTGCTCTTATTGGCTGTTTTACTAACTTTCAAAAACCAAAAAATCGCGTTGCGTTGTCGAATCGCGCCCAGTGTGTATGGACTTTTATTCTCGTGCTATATACTCTACAGCTTTTTTCTTTTGACTCCTATCAATAATCAGCGTCCGATCATATCAGAAAAAGCCCTGAAACAAACAAAAACAAACAAGCAAAACAGGCAGGCAGGCAGGCAAGCAAGCAAACAAACAAACAAACAAACAAACAAACAAACAAACAAACAAACAAACAAACAAACAAACAAACAAACAAACAAACAAACAAACAAACAAACAAACAAACAAACAAACTGACATATTGCTTCTTAACCTTTATTGTTTTAGAAACGAAAACCCATGTTTCTATAGAAATTTCCTGCAGTAGTGGCTTGGTCAAAGCTTCGTGGTTGAAACATGAAGACAAAGAATCAGGCATAGCCAAAATTGAGTGGTGTATTGAAAGTGTTGACAATATGTGTAATATACAGCCTTGGGAGACAGTACCAACAAACCTACAAACAAAATCTTCTATCATTCATTCACTTTCGACCTTAACAAGTATCCAAGCTGTGGTTCGTATTTCAAATGGCGTAGGAAACACTGCATTGCTTAAATCAACCTTGTGCAACCCAGTAAAAACATTCCCTCCTAAACTCGATGTGGCCGAAGTAAAGGATTTGAATGATACTCGGACTGATATAGACTACCAGACCGACACTGAAGCGATTATAGTCACGTGGTCGTCGCCAAGCAACGTGTTGTCATACTCTAGTATCCAGGCTGCGCTAACCGAGCCGAAAGAAAACCTAAATGTAACCGAGTCTCTGCTTCAAAAATGGCGGGGAGAACCGTTTGCTTTTGAATTCGTGGACATTCCACGAGGAAAGACGCACATTCGGTTTAGTGGTGATAGGATAAAGCCATACACGAAGTATCGACCCGTCGTTAGACGCTGTGACAAGGTTGGACTCTGTCGAGATTCAGTTGGAGATGGAGTTGTGATTGTGCCAGACGCACCCCCTGATATACAGGTAATAATCATCACCACCATCATCATGGCCACCATCATCACCAACAACTTGTTCTCGTCACCACATTTATCACCACCACCGTCATCACCATCATTATCACCATCGTTATCATCATCATTATCA